CTCTCTCTCTCTCTCTCTCTCTCTCTCTCTCTCTCTCTCTCTCTCTCTCTCTCTCTCTCTCTCTCTCTCTCTCTCTCTTTCTCCTCTCCCTCTCCCTCGTCTTCCTCCATTCCTTCAAACTCCTTTAGCCCTTAACGCTTTCGTCACCTCTTCCCCTCCATGGCATGTGACTAACCCCTACCCTCACCTGTTACATTGTCAGGGAACGAACGGGAAGGAACTTGGTCCTCACTTGGTGGAAAGCAAGGGCAAGGGAAGGGCAGCCGGTCCCTTGTGCCACCAAGGAGGAAAGGATACGAGGCTATTGGGAACATTTGTGAAAACGAAAAGGAGTGTTATTTTTGGACGAGGTCAATTTGACTCAACCATCTCCCCGACTGCATGACTAAGGTGGCTGCATGATCTGCTTGAGGGAAGTAAGGGGCTGAAACAAGGGATCATGGAAGGGCAAAGGAAACTTAGGCTTGCTAGAAGGGCCGATGTGTTGACCCCAATGGGGATCGTGCTTGGTCATCTGTATTGTGGTCTTGCGCAGGTGAGTAGCTAGGGACGATTTGGACGGGGATGAACCCACGGATGAGGACTAGGGTGGGAGATTGGCAAAAGGGAAGGGATTTGGATCCGGCTTAAGCTACGGATGCGGGATGAGTTGAGGCCGACCGCTTGGGTCGATGGTTGATGCATGGACTTGGGTTGTGCGGAGGTTGTATGGAATGTCTCTCCCTCATGTGCAATGCGACCCCTGAAAAGACTAAGGGCGGTCTCGGATAGGTGATGCGATGCTAGTGGCTCTTGCAAAAAAATATATATATAGCGGCTAGGGGTCCGGGCGACGCCACCTCACCCCAAGGATGTCATCGGGGCTATCCCAAGCCACTAGACTTAGTGAAAGGGTGCGTGGCCCAATGGATGACGCTTGGCCTGCGTACGGAAAGATGACAAACTCTCAACGAACTCCCTGGACTGCGTGAGTATTGGAAAGAGCAATTGCCTGGTCAGACTCAAATGGATCGAGAAAAACGTCGCGAGTGACCAAAGAGCTACCATCTTGACGCGAAAGCGGAGCTACATCCCCCAATGTAAAGCCCTCTCGCAAAAGGCCCATCCCCATCCATCTCGTAGCACTAGGTGGGGGTGCCCCAAGGACGAACGACCCGCGCCCTGAGCGTGAGCGTGGGCGGGGCGAGCCAAGTGGGACCCGCAGTGGGGTCGACCGAGGCTCGCAAAATTTTTTTTTCCCATGTGCAGGCTAGGTAAAGAAATGGCGACGGAGGAAGGGATCGATGACCAGCAGAGCGGAGGGAATCAGGGCACGAATGGGAATGGGGAACGAAACGAGGGATCAACCAGGGATCGAGTCAGCCAAACTGGAGGGGACCCGAAAAGACGGAAAGGACTCCTCAATTGGAGAAAGCTCGGGGAAAGCTGGGGGTAGCAAAAGGGGACCTCAAACCAGTCATAAACTGGCAGAGATAGAGAAGCGGACCGCGGAATTTAAGGCAAGACTTATCGAGCAGATGATGGCCGGGGATGAGGAGGACCTCCAGGACGCAGGGTCACGAGAGGGACGTAGGGCCGGTAAGGACGAGGCGAGGTATGAGGGGAAGGATGATAGTCACAAAGGAACGCCTAGCAAGAAGGGGAAGGACAAGAGCGACCCCCCGACAGAAGGAACGGAAAACGCTATGACCCCACCCGCCATTGACAGTGGCACTAGCAGACTACCCGCCACGCCGAAAGTAACAAGGGCGTGTGACGGACTCTGGAGCCTTAGGGAGAGAGTGCTAGGATGGTTCGACCCAGAAGGAACACCGGAAACCAGGGAGAAGCAGAGGGAAAGCAAGGAAGGGGAAGGAGCCAGTGCAGTCGGGGAAGCGGGTGGCTCCGAAGACGGTCTCAAGAAAGTAGTCGCCACCCTCAACAGGACACTGAACAAGAACCAGAGGTATCTCGCAGATCCAAAAAAGAAACTCACGTTCGATGGGGCCAACATTACGGAGTTTCTAATAGACTATGAGAACCTAGCAGCCCTACTGAAATGGATGGAAGAGGAAAAGATGGAGCACCTAGGACAGCACGTATCGCTAAGTTTGGGAAGGGACATTATCGCCATCGTTGCCTCCAGTGGATCCTGGAAAGAGACCAGGAATGAGATGATGAGGAAATACCTGAAGGCAGAATAAATGGCAGTGGAGGCAGAATTAGCCGCAGTCCATAGGAAAAACTATGCGACCTACAACGATTTCCTGAGGGCGTTTACGTTAGTGGCTGTGCGAATTCCCGGGGTAAGGGACCGTATAATGAATAAATACTTCCTCAGGCAGTTCTCCGAGTTTGATAAGGATAAGATTTTGTCAGCATACCAGCAGACCAGAAAGTTCGAATACACGAGAGATGTGGATTTCAGCACCGTAACAGACCTGGCGGAAAAGACAGTGGTTACCGAGACGCTAGCCCTACTTAAGGAAGGGGAGGTCATAGATCTGACCGGGAAGACAGGGGATAAGGTCAAGAAGGGGATAGAGAGCCTGCATGAACGGGTGCACGGGGTTGATAGCAAGATGGACAGAATGGAAAATGCGTTGTTAGTAATGCAGGCGCAAGTGTCCAGACCCGCCCTCCCGCCCCAAGAGGCCGTGGTTCCGGCAGCTGTAGCAAACCGGGGGTTTGGCAGGAGGGACCCGGCCAACGAACAATGCAAGTATTGCACCATGATCGGGCATTTCGTACGGGCCTGTCCGAGACTCAATCACGATATCGAGCGGTAGAGGTGCAGTAGGTCCCTCAAAGGCGAGATCCTTGGACCCACGGGGCAGCGTGTCAATTGGAACTCGCCAGGAGGGCTGCGGCGAGCCGTCATTCTCCTGAACAACCTATAAATAACTGCCATAGAAGCAGAGCCGATAGCCGAGATTGTCTGGGACCAGCCAGGGGGACGGGGACCACAGGCCAATTTTATCCTAGAAGGCAATGCCCAGGATAGGGTGAATATCACCACTCGCCGAGCTGGCGCAGAAAAGAAGCTTGTTCAAGATACAGTAATGGAAGAACTCGCAGGGACTAGCACGGGCCAGCAAGAGACCGAAGCCGGGGATCAAGAGAAGGTCTATGGGAAGCCAAGGGAGGAGGAACCGGTAGACAAGGCTACGGCGGCGAAAAAGAAGTTCAGGTATCAAATTCCAATCCTGACTTCACCAGAAATCGATGGCACTTTAAGTAAGCTACTGGGTACCATGGTATCGGTATCTTTTCAGACCATGCTGCAAGCCAGCCCGAGGCTGCTTAAAGGACTTAGGCAGTTGCTAACGCGTAAGCGCGTAGAGGTAGAGGAGGCCACGGAACTGCAAGAGCAAGACACGAAAGAGGCCGAGGGAGCCTAAATCGACGGACTTGGACCGCGAAACCAAGCACGTGCCTTATGGGTATAGCAGGATTTGAACCTGCGACCATTAGGTTAAAAGCCCAATGCTCTACCAACTAAGCTATACACCCAGAATCCAGGCCAAGGTGCCTCTACGAGGAGGAAACATCACCGAAGTATCCCGAAGTGAAGCGCCACACACACACTCATCCATGACAGCCTAAAGACAAGATTTGAAGCAATCTATGAGGAGGAAACATCTCCGAAGTATCCCGAAGTGAAGCGCCACACACACACTCATCAAGAACAGCATAAAGACAAGATTTGAAGCATCCTACGAGGAGGAAACATCACCGAAGTATCCCGAAGTGAAGCGCCACACACACACTCATCAAGGACAGCATAAAGACAAGATTTGAAACATCCTACGAGGAGGAAACATCACCGAAGTATCCCCAAGTGAAGCGCCACACACACACCCATCAAGGACCGCATAAAGGTAAGATTTGAAGCATCCTAGGGGGAGGAAACACCACGGAACTTTCACAAGGTGAATCGCAACCCATCCAGGCTCCCAATTCAGTGAAAACTCAAAGTTTGAAGCATCAACACCAAGGGAAACATCACAGAACTTTCAGAAGGTGAATCGCAACTCATCCAGGCTCCCAATTCAGTGAAAAATCAAAGTTTGAAGCATCAACGCCAAAGGAAACATCACGGAACTTTCACAAGGTGAATCGCAATTCAACCAAGCTCCCAAATCAGTGAAAACTCAAAGTTTGAAGCATCAACACCAAGGGAAACATCACGGAACTTTCACAAGGTGAATCGCAACTCATCCAGGCTCNACGGAACTTTCACAAGGTGAATCGCAACTCATCCAGGCTCCCAAATCAGTGAAAACTCAAAGTTTGAAGCAATCTATGAAGGGGAAACTTCACGGAACTACCGCAAGGTGAATCGCAAGTTACCCAAGCCCCCAAATTAGTGAAAATCGCAGTTTTGACAAAAGGGGGAGGCGGAGGAGGAGGAGAGGGAGAAAGAGAAGAAAGGGAGAAGAAGAGGAAGAAGAAGAAGAAGAAGAAGAAGGGGAAGAAGAGGAAGAAAGAAGAAGGAGAGAAGAAGGAGAAGAGGAGGAAGAAGAAGAAGAAGGAGAAGAAGAAGAAGAAGAAGAGGAAAAAGAAAAAGAAGAAGAAGAAGAAGAAGAAGAAGAAGAGGAAGAAGAAGGAGGCCTTCTTCCTCCTTCACTCACCTCTTGCTGATATCTAGGCAGTGGAGTCCCAATGCTTGGTCCTAGCCTCCTGAGTATGGTTTTTCCTCTCTCCCAAGCTCTCTCCTCCTTCCCTCACACCTTTCCTTTGGCTATGGCAGGTTCCTACTTCTAAGGTTGTGGAGTCCTTCCCTCTAGAAGGGCTACGGGGACCCCTTTCAGCCTCTCTTCCTATTCCACAACCTGAGGGCTATGACGGACCACTCTCCTTGCTTCCTCCTAGCCTCTAGGTCACCTTTCTCAGCCTTACCACCATAGCCAAGCTGCAGGCTAGCTCCGGCTCTCACTTCCTTGCTCTATCTCACTAGTACTCACTCACGGACTCATTTGGGCAGCATGGGCACCTCTCATGCTCAAATGAGAGTTGCGGCCTACACCTCCAGCTTATATAGGCTGGAACAGGTGCACCGCCCAACCTCTAGGCCCCTCCAAGTGCCTCTAGGTGGAGCGAGGTACCCCCAAGGGCCAAATTTCCAGTTTTGGCCTACCTGGAGGTACCTGGCCCTCATTTTGGCCAGGTACATGCAGTCCGAGAGGCTGGTACCTTCTCGGACTACCCCTTGGCCTACCCGAGCCTCTTTTCTTTTCAAAAGGTGCTGCCTGTTGGGTACCACTACCCCAAAATGCAGCCTTTACCAAAATTTGAGGGCCTAGAGGCCCATTTTTCGTTTTTTCCTAATCTAGGCCTCTTGAGAGTAGGCCGTTGTATTTTTCCAAGTGGCGGCACAGATCTCAGCCTTGGATTTGGCTGAGATCTATGGTTCTCATCAATCCGAGTTACTCCAAGCTCCCCTTGCTCCAAATTTGAGTCCTTTGCCCCAATTTTCAATTTTTTTGATGTTCCTGGCCCAAACCTTGGGCCAAATTCACAATTTTGTCTTGTCCCTCTCTTTGTTTTGCCTCCATTTTGCTGCCAACTCATTCTGGAGCTAGCCGTTTTGTGTCAGCCCACAAAAAACGGCTAGATCTCCTCCTCCGCAAGATCAAATCTCAGATCTAAGGCCCAAAAATGAGCCGGCCAACTCACATCAACATTTTTCTTTATTTTTGTTGCTTAAATTCAGATATTGCAGAGATAATGCCCCAAGGACCTTATCTCTGCAATCCGGACTGCACTCCTAGGATCTAGGAGGGATGAGGTCATCATTGGGACTTGCCTATCCCTACTGCTGCAGTTCCAACCTGGCGGCACATTTTCCTCCACTCCTTCCTCCTCCTTTGTCTCATTCTCCCCTTTTTTCTCCCATTTTTTCTCCCTCTTCTTTTATTGCTGTAGGGCCAAGTGTCCAACAACTATTTCTCCTCTTTCTGGCTGTTGGACTTCACCCAAGGTCTGTTTTTGTAGCCGGTACCTGGCCGTTGCACTTTGGACTGCAGTAGCGGCATCCCCAAGGCCAAAGGGGGCTCCTTTTTGCTGTCGCCGCTTCCCGTTTGGGACCCCCTTGCTCTGATTTTCTCCGACCAGCCTTTTTTCCACGTGGAGCCCTCGAAACTTCGTTTTTCTTGGCCTGGCCGATCTGGGATACTCGGACTGCTGGCCGGCCCCCTCATTACCACTATCCCCTCCTCTTTTTTCCCCTCGGCACCTCCTGCCGGCGCTTGTCGCGGCGGTACTCATCATTTTCATCCGGACCCCTGGCCCGGATGGTCCCGTCCTCCTGATGTTATGTTAGTTTATTTTTATCGTTGTCGTTGCATTGGATCTAGGATCCCCCTGGGTCGCCCCAGGTGCCCTCCGTCTTTCCCGTCACATGTTCGTCGCACCCCCCCCATTCCGTTGACAATTTCTGTCAGCGCCCGACTTCTCCTCCTTTTCTTACCACTCCTAGTCACCCCGAGTGACAACCCGCTCGCGCGCGTCTCTCTGTCGGGCCGGTTGCCAACTATCTTGCCGACGGCTCCGACCTCCGGCCCCCGTCCGCGGATCCCGACGCTTTATCCCATCGATACCCGCCCAACTAGTGGTTCTGCTGGCGCCTCCATCCTATCTAGTCCCACATGGTTCCTGGCGCTTTGGTCCACCCAAGCTTTGTCTATCCCTTGGTCTTACACGGTTCCTGGTACTTCGCCCTGTCGATATCACGCCGTCCCTTGGTCTCGCGTGGTCCCCGACGCCTAGTCCCGCCGGCACTGCACTTCTTCTTAGTTCCTAGTGGTCCTGACACTTTGTCCTGCCTGTGCCATGTCTTCCCTTGGTGCTCCTGGCGTCCTTCCGCCTTACGGTGATCTCCGCTCCCCATTCCCCCTTGCATCCCACACGCTGTTCCCCTTCGGATGCCGGTTCCCACCTAACCTGCGATCTCCTTGGCCTCCCTGCCGCCGCGTCGTGCCGGCGCCTTGCGCCCTGTCCCTTCCTTCTTTCCTTCCTCCCTTTGTTGCGCACCCCCTGTGCTACTACCGACTTCCCGGCGGCCCTTCTCCGTCCTTGGGAAAGGAGTCGCTCCTGCTATTCTCTCACATTCCTTTGCCGCTTCCGTCTTAGACAATTCCTCTTTAGTTTTGGCGGTCTTGACGACTCCGGACAGCTTCTAACCTCCCACTGTCTGTACTCACGCTTTCGGTCTTTCCAACATTTCTGCCTCCGATTTTCTTTGTCGTGCACAAATTGGTCAAATACAATCTCTCGAGTGACGGGAAATCATTCGGGACTCACCAGTCCCAACATATTCCCCCCACTCATTCGCGATG